TATTTTATTTTAATAATCTGAAACATAAAATAAAACATTTTATTTTAATAATCTGGCATAAAATAAAACACTTTAATGTTGTTTAAAGTATTGGGTCATCCCACAAGTAATGCGGCTTTTTCGACTCATTCTTTGACCTAAAACCTAAGAATTTCTATCGTGGAGGTTTTGAAAGAAATTAACGTGAGGACTTATGGGATGATCTAATATTTCTAAGAAGAAATGGTACCTACATTTAATATAAGAAGCTACAACATTTGGCACAGTTTTATTTTCTGTTTAACTGCGACTATTCGCATATAATAGAGTACAGCGATTTGAATATTTGTAAAATTTAAATTGAAAACACATATTACCTAAAACCATAAAATATGTCGACAAATTCTAATAGTTTAAGAGAAGATATTATTGTAGAAGAGAGTGTTAGTGAAAAAATTCCATTAATTTTAGATGGAAAATTTTTCTCTATTAAACAACAGAATTCAAGTGACAGTCGAGTTAGTGCAGAGTGTAAAACTATTCAATTCAGCTATTATATACTATTATACAGGGTGTCCCGTAATTCCTCAAACACCCGGAAATGGGGGTTGCTGGGGTGACTCTGAACAACTGTTTCCTTTACCAAAATGTTGTTTGAAGCTTCATTTTTGAATTATTAATGAAAAACACTGGCCAATCAGAGCGCGCGTAGAGCCCGCGCTCAGGGACGTTAATTACATAGGTCGTTGAGAAACACACAATTGCTACATTTAAACCACTCCTCTATCGTTTCGACAACCCAACGTTGGGGGCTGATTGGCCAGTGTTTTTCGTTAATAATTCAAAAACGAAGCTTCAAACAACATTTTGGTAAAGGAAAAAGTTGTTCAGAGTCACCCCAGCAACCCCCCATTTCCGGGTGTTCGAGATGTTACGGGACACTCTGTGTACTCGCTCAATGCGTATTGAATGCGAATCATTATTTTCAGCAATAATATTCAAAGTAAAGGAAATAAATGAAAATAAATAAGATATTTCACGATAAAATTCAAATATTTTCAATATTCTTCAAATAAAATATTATTTTCAAATACTATTTTAAAAACTTGCCGTATCAGCTAAAATATTTCATTTTCAAAGTTGTATGTAGGTATACTTTAAAATGAATAGGATTATTTACTATTTACTATTTAAAATAGTATTTTACCAATCTCTGCTTAAAAGTTGGGCAGTATCGCCTGTCCAGTAATACAGACTCCTATTTTGATACCGAATTAATTTTTTTATGCAAATAGGGGTTAATTGGTGCGCATGCGCGTTGTAATCACAATGCATAGCACAATGCACAAAGTAAATCTCATACAGTAAGGTCTCGTGTAATCTCGGGGCTATCTAGCTAGATTAACGTCGTGTACATCAGTTGTATGCTCATCGCTGTCACGTCCGTGTCATCGAGTCATCGCAACCTCTGACAGTTCCAGGTAGCACTTTCGCAATGAAGAGTTTCTTCATAATTTTTACAGTTATCATAGGTAAGGGAAGAATTTTCTTTTAAATTCAAAGCAAGTTATTTATTCTTTAAATGTTCAATTACCTTCATTTGATCAACCATGATCTTTTTATCGGATCGTATATGCATATTTTAATCCTTTTTTATATCACACATATTTACGTTTTACCAAACATAGAATCCGCTTAGCGTGTTCGAGTTATAACTTTGTTGAAAGAAAAACAATTTATCTTGTTTGAAACGAAGCTGCGCGACGCTTAAGTAAAAATAATTTAAAAATCACGTTACTCGATTAGCAATTACATGGGGGAGAAAGCTTCAAATGATAGTTCTTCTATAAAAGCGCTTTGTGTTCTGTAGATGAAACGAAACTATTATCGTATGAAACTGAAGTGTTGGCGTTTGCTGTTCTTTTTTTTTTTTTATTACTTTGTTGGTCCATCTTTGGTCAACATGTATTAGCTTCATAAAGAAGGACTAAAATAATGGGAAAATTGATAAATACAGGTCAACGGTAATCTCTCTTTTAATAACCGGAAGCGTGGTTTATTCTCATTAAAATTCGTTCGAGTTGTTCATAGATTGTACGTAAAAACGCCAATTTAAGAGCACCAACATTTATTCTTGGAGTCGATTATGTACCAATTTAGAGTCTACAAATCTGTTATGAAAATTTTCTTCGAATTTCGACGTCATTTTCCGACCTGACAGATTATTAATAGACGCACAGTTGTGTAATGTTCCGTTCCATCAATTGTCAATGAGGTTAATTTTGTTTCCTGTTCTACGCATTATTTATTCAACTTGTTGGATAATGAACTATCCACGCAAACAAGTATAACGAATTCCTCGAGAGTGTTTCAAAACAAGCGTATCGTAAAAGATTTTTACTATACGCTTCTAATTAATTTATTTCGTCGCAATATTATTTTAATTTCTATCATACTGTGTGATACTTTAGTTTTAACATTCAAGGCATTAGAATTTGTGCCCGATTAATTCAAGTTCAATTTCCATGACTCTTAACCCTTTCTAGTTCAATTTAAGTAAATTCTTCAAATAGGAGAAACACTTTATTAACAAGGTAATTTAAAAATTGTTAAATTCACTAAATGCGTGTGTGGACATTTGTAAAAATATTTATGTCACTAAAAAACTGATATCAAATGACAGCATATAAATGCGAAAATAGTACACGATAGCAAATGGAATCATTAGCCTGGAAAGGGTTAATTAACTGTATTAAATGGAAAAGCTTTTCGTATTTTTTTTTATTTGAAACGTTCAAATTGCTTACAATTACACACTTGAATAATGTATTAGCTTTTAAAAAGATCTCCATGGATTCTAATATGCTTTTATATTCGTTCAGTAATATGTTTGCACGTTCAAATTATGTACATACTGGAACGATTTTCAATGCATTTCTTACCTTCGCAGTATGAAGTGTTACGTCTCTTTTAATCATAATAAAATTTATTGCTTTATATGTAACGTTATAGATGAAAAAGAAATATTGATTAATGCGTCAGTGAATAATGTAACATTTCCATATGATCCATGTGGTACGCTTACTATCTTGCACTTTATACAATTCGATAGGTATATGTGCGCTAGTAGGATGCGGTCGTTAATAATTTATATCATTTAGTCAATCATTGGTATCCGGACTTTCTTTTTACGTATTGAAAACATTGTAAAACTATAACTCGTTATAGAGGAGATGATTAAAGCAAGTTCTACCCTGAACTTTTCTATTTTTTTTATCTAGTGTTATAAAACATTCAATGTATCGTTCCATTTTCATAATTTGAAAATATCGATTTTATTACCAAAAGATGTATCAAATCTGTCACATAAAATAATATTAGCAGCAAGTTGTTGTTTCTATTATTCTCTATTTGCGTTATTTGCATTTTTGTTTTCAATCGAAAATATATAAAAATTAACGTGAAAGAATTATATGTGATTGTGAAATAAATTTTTAATGTTTCTGTTAAAAGAAAAACCAGTGAATATACCTTTCAGTTGAGGTAATGAAAATTATATCGCATTAAAATTTTCAAGTGACAAATTAATTCTGTTTCAGGTTTATATGCGGTTATAGCATCCGATGATTGGTCGTATTGGGGTGAACATGGTAATCATTATTGATATTATTTAAATTCCCTTCAGTTATTTATATCTAATGCAATTTTACCGAGTTACTGTTGAATGTTAAATTTCGAGGTATAGTACTCGCGTTTAGTAATCTCATTGTAAGTATCTTAAATAAATATTAAACGTAAATGTACCTTTATCGGAAATTTATCAGAAATTTATCAGAAAGGTATCAGAAATAAAACGGAAATGATGACAGATTTTTAATTCGCATGTTTACTCAACCTTCATGTTTATTTGTACAATTCCTCTTTTGGTATACATGTAGGTGTATTTTTAGTAATTTGTGCATACATACATGTGTAAATAACACACAAATAAACCAAGCACATGGAATTTTAATTTACCATATTGGAAAAATAATTATTGCAGTCCGTATGAATTTTTATTATATCTGTAATCTTTAAGAACTCGCACTATGCTGCATTCATAGTTATTTTTTAGGTGGAGAAAATTAAGAATTTCGTGTTGATGTTCTATTCAAAAATTTTTTATTTATGATTAGATTGGATTTTTTCGAAAATCACGTATTTACCTACATACAAACACTACGGAACAGATTCAGTTCAGCAGAACGGTAACTGATTTCAAAAGCATTACTACACGAGTAGAACCTACAGAGGTGAACATCTTAAATATTTTCCACGTCAAAGATGTAGAATTTAATAAGTTGTCTACACAACATTATAAGTATAGTGATATTTACAAACTTGAAATTCTAAATTAATTTTTCAAATAATTTTCACGTAATTTTCACTTGTTACCATTAAAATTACTATTTAGTTCATATGTCACACTATGTTGCACGATAACTTCCCAACATCATTTTATATCGCTAAATCTTCTACATATAGATACTAATTTTTATTATGTTATATAAGCGGATTTATTTTTCAAATTCATCACATAGGGTAATTCTTCAAAAATATGCAATTTAATGTATAAATATCTACATAAATCATCGAAAAATAAATTTTTTCAAATTTTCACCCCTCTATCGTAGATTTTGACACGTTAAAAATATGCATAGGTCAAATACTGTTTTTTTAGAACAATTCTATGTATAAGTTTTATTACAACCGACGATTTACGTTTGCGATCTATTTCTCATGAGGATTAATCAATTCGATGTTTTCTCACAAGAATTTTCAAGAGCATTCTATTAATTGATTTGTGAATGTCTTACAAGTTTATCGCACTAAAAATTACCAAACAATTGATCTTACACATTCTATCATTTAACGATTACACGTAATATTCTGTGTGTTCAAGATGTAACAATCGCTGTGATAATGATTTTTAAACCTTCACATTATCTTTATTCACTTAATCAACACTCCAAGTCCTGTTCTGATATTTCACTCAAAAAGTGTGTTTTCGCTCCCACAAAGTTCGTGAAGCCGATTATTTAGCAAATAATTTTATATTGATTTATCAGCACAAATTTTAATATTAACAATAACAAAAATGATCAATGGGATCCTTGCGAGAATCTCTGAAGTAGGTATTCTTCACAAGTATCCTTATACTTATTACGAATGTCCATACAAATATTTAAAGTATATTATAAATATCACAAATGTCCTTTGCAAAATTGCGTTTAAGTTTATGTGTAATATTCCAATTCAGAGTCCACGGAATGTTCACGTTCCGAGTGTCGCCGTAATGTCCAGAGTGCAGAACTAATAGTAACAATTAAATTTTAACTGTCCTGGTCCTTTTATACATATTCGTCCGTCAAAAGGTGTGTCTTAATCCCTTAACCCTTTAACCTATAACGAGTCAGGCTCGTGGCAGAGATTTTGGTCAAGATGTGAGAAAAATAGTTATATTAGTAAGAAGAATTGATTGTAATCCTGTTTCGTTTTAATTTGTAAGACTGAGGATTACTGAATGTAATTACATAATCTCTAACAGATTAGCTTTTGTTACCTGATACAGTACTGAAACAGTAAATGGCTGACGCTTAGATGCACAGTCAGAAAAAAAATCATAGGTTAAGGGGTTAACGCTCACATTTTTCTCAATTCGATGTACCAAATTAGATCAATTTTGTCTTTTTTTTTTGTCATTATTTCCTAGGCTATAGAAATAAGTTTCTCATTATTTATAACGTTGTAATTTCCTTTTTTTCCATAATGAAAGGATAACACAATATGGAAAATGAAGGAAAGTAGTTTTAAAAAATGGCACTTATTGGAAGATTAGTTGTGCACGTGTGAGACACGAGCATGAACGTTAAAGGAACATGGAAAAAAGGCGAGAAGACAGTTCAATGGAAAATGTGTAGGAAAGGGTAGGAAAGTTCGGGGGCGTTTTGGTACGTAGCGTCCATGTGCTAGTCGAGGGAAATTCTGAAAAGTCCGTAAAGTTCTAGTCGTCTGTTGTGTAAGTATGCGCCAGTCTTTGGTCCAACGAATAAGATTGCGATATGTCAATTACTATTGAGCAGGAGAGACTAAACGCTTAAAAATCAATTTAAAGGTTAGGCGTTTCTTCTAAGAAAATAAACTTAGGATAATTCGTTATCCTAACATGAGAACGGTTCGTGTTCAACTAATTCTACGCATACAAAGATCATAACGTGGGCTTAGGTTAAGGCTTAGGCTAAATTATCTATACATCGTAAATGAGATAAATACAGAAAATAAACAATGTTCATGAAGTTGTGATAAAGTCCAGATAATCACCAATGCAACTCCTAATGAACGTTCAAGTTTGATGATAGTATTCGATAATAGTAGATAATAGAAAAATGAGTAACAATTATCTGTAATGAGTATGAAAGAAATTAGTCATTTTAACACTAACGAAGTCCTCTTAGATTACTTATACACACGAGTGTTATGCAGGGTCGCATTTATACTTTCGCAGGTTTTAGGCGCAACATCGTTACGAGACCTCAAAAGAACAAGTCTATTTTAGTTAATCAAATTCATACACGTTTCTCTTTAAGTTTATTGAAAATGAGAGTCGACATTTCCATAATAACTCGTTTGAATAAAATAAAAATAGCACAACATTGGTATACATATGCTTGTACTAAAAGAAGTATAAAAATAAATCAGTTCAAATTTAGATTAACAAAAATTAATAACTAAAAGCTGTTTTTATATTATGAATTTAATATTTAACAATAAGTACTTTATTTTGCAACTATAACTGAGCTGTTTTTTATATTGTTGTTTGTGAGAAGTAGGGTTTTTAACCTTTCAGCTACTGAACGCGACTATAATGGCTTTCGCGTATGTTACCTTTTTAAACGGTACGCCACTACAGGGTGTTCCGTAACTCCTCGAACACCCGGAAATGGGGGGTTGCTGGGGTGACTCTGAACAACTGTTTCCTTTACCAAAATGTTGTTTGAAGCTTCATTTTTGAATTATTAACGAAAAACATTGGCCAATCAGAGCGCGCGTAGAGCCCGCGCTCAGGGACGGAGAACAGAGGCTCATTCGCGCGCGATTTCGACTAATTGAAATTTTTTCAAAAATTTATACAAACGTGGGAATGACGGCAAAAAACCATTTCTCTAAGCCTTATAAAAATAGCGGTGCAAAGTCAAAATTTTTGCCAGTGTTTTTCGTTAATAATTCAAAAATGAAGCTTCAAACAACATTTTGGTAAAGGAAAAAGTTGTTCAGAGTCACCCCAGCAACCCCCCATTTCCGGATGTTCGAGGAGTTACGGGACACCCTGTATAGTGGCTTTCGCGTAAGTCATCTTTTCGAACGATACGTCACTATAGTGGCTTTCGTGGATATCATGTTTTTGGACGGTATGCCACTGAAGTGGCTCACTCTGTCTGTAGATATGTTTAAAATATCGCCTGACTGCCCTCGTCATTTGTTTTATTTCACATTTGTTTCGCCTGAACCACATTTCCTAACAATATCGAAGCTATCGTTGAAGAGTACGCGTGTTAGAGAAATCTTCGGAACGAACAGTCTTTTACTTTTTGCCCAATAGAGATACAGTGTTGCAGAAAGTCCAGCCTCAGCTAAAAGGTTAAATGTGGCCCCATAAAGAGTGAGGCCCCAGCTTGTGCCCAATGAGCCTTATGATAAAGCGGCCCTGGTGTTATAGCTACACTTGTCACAATTGTAGAATGTTTACAAGAGTAGTGTCAATAGTTCAGGATTGACAGTTCTCCTGGCTGTCTTGTTCAGTATCCATGTCATTTTCGATGGGCAAGATGCAGATTTTGGATACTGGGCGTTTGGCCACGCCTCCAGAAATCCATACTGACACCATTGAATCATTCGTTTGGTGACGCGTTGACTTGAAATCTTGTGAACCGTGTACCGAAGTATGTCCGTTTCCGGTTACCAGAAAGGTCCAAGATTCTTTGAATCCCTTTCTGTGATTACTTGCACTCTTGGTTGAGATTTCATTGGTGGCCCATTTACCAAGTTCCAGATCTGACGCACTTAAAATCCTGGATAAGTATGTTTTCAAATCCTTCGATTCTGATATGAAGTCCGTTCCGGTTAAAAGTGACTAACAAAGTTACTTACTCCAAATTATACTGTAAACTGCATTAATGAGTTCTGTTTTTGAACAACAACATAATGTAATATTACAGCCTCTGGTCAAAGAAATTAGAGCCACTCACAATTTTCAACATCTTTAGTATTGTTAGTAACATTTAAAGTCATGAACGTAATTTAAAAATAATTTTTGTTAACTACTGAAGTACACACATACATGTTACATGCAGACCTATTAATAATTTGTATTTCCCCCCTTTGCTTTGATTACAGCATGTATCCTTCCCGGCATACACTGTATGCACTTCTTTATCGTGTCCTTTATTTTTGGATGATTTTGCTAAATATCCAAAATTTTTTTCTTTAATTCAGCTAATGTGGTGATTACTATTGTGTGTATATACAAGTGTTTTAAGTAAACTCCAGACATTCTCAATTGGATTCATATCGGGAGAGTTGCCTGGCCATGGGAATATGGGGATTTTTTAAAATGAGAGTAATTCTTATTAAATAAATTCTGATTCCCACCCTGCAGTGTTAATGACTTTCATATATTGTCAAAACACGAAAGATTTTGAAAATTGTGAGTCGCCCTAATTTTTTGGCCAGGGGCTGTAGTGCTGAAGATTACAGAGTCAACTTATTCTTTTCCAAATAGAATAATTATTTTTCAATGATAGTATTTGATAGAGTTGGAATTCAATAAAAAGAGTATCGTATGTATTTATGTATATATTATGTATTATAATGGCGGAGATACGTATACAGGGTGTTCGACAACAGTTGGTAGAAAATTTAAAGAATAATTCTACGAGCCGGAATAAAAGGAAAATCAAGAATAAAAAAATTGCGTGTGAAGCTTCGTTTTTTAGTTATTAACAATCAAAGATATCCCTGTGGTCGAGCAAAATTCTTGACACCAGCCGGTATACGACAGGCCAAGACACGGGGAGCACAGTGATTCTCAAAAGAAACGGCACATGGTCGGCAGCTTACCTCGTAACTTGTTATAGAGAAGAAAACTGACATTCGGTGTCGTAAATGTTTCTGCAACACTTTACAAGAAAAATCGTATGTCAAACATTAAACTTGCCTACTGGCAGAAATCCATAAGAACATATCAAAGTCTGTCCTATGGAATTTCCAAGTTGAGAGGTTCAATGTTTCCTCTAGTTCATAATTAATTAACAAATGCACACACCACAATTCTCCACAAAAAGGTGCACACAGAATTCGCACAGATTACGAATGGTCGCCTCATTCTCGACGACGGATCATTTCGATAAAAGACAGCGCACACTCGCATGCCAAAAATAACAGTTTACAGTGCAATGTCTTACATTTCGAAGGACAGAATCATTTCGACAACGAAAGCGAAACTTTTAACGAGCTGCTCGACGTGATAAGCGAACATAGCACTTATTTTTATCTCTTCTCTTTTAGTTCGGTATAATCAGTTAAATTTAATTTATTACATTTTAGTATACTTCTAATATATGTAGGTATAATTTATTGTTCTTCGATTTTTTTCAGTTCTCTTCACTTTTTAGTCTTTATTTCGTGCGTGCACGTGTGTATGTGAATACTGTAGCGTATCGTAATTATTTTTCAGTGGTTTTCGTGTATTGTGTTTGTTGTGTTTGCAGTATACAATGGAATACACATTTGAAGGAGTTTCCGACATGCACCTATGTCGTGGTGAAGTAAACGGTAGTGTTGCAGAAGTCAGTAATGCCGTCTTCTCTACGACTTGCAAGAGGTAAGGTAGCGACCATATATTGATGATTTTGAGGATCACTGTACCCCCGTACCTTGACGTGTGCTCCATGTATTGTGTTAATAAATCTTTCCACGTGTGTGGCTTCAGTAAATATATGTAATGGAAGGGTTACAAAATAAAAAAATTATTGTCTTTTAAAATTGTATTTCGGAAATAGCTAGATTACTTATCGCGGGGCGTGTACTTACTGCGTAGAGCTCAGGGGTTTGCCCATTGAAGGAATGCGGTCTGATTCGGTCATATCTATTGGATTATGTACGGTAAAAACGGTCAGGATAACGGTGGTGAGCGGTGGAATAAAATATAAATGTGGGCGGTTAAACAGGGTGAATCCTTGTATTTTGAACTATACTGCACGAGTGCTGATACAATTCTGTCCTTCCTGAAAAAACTAGTCAAGAGGACCCCCTTGACAATATGGCCTTTCTTAGCCTTGAGGCAAAACTATCCCTAGGAGGGGGAAACGCAGCAGAAGACTGCACATGGCCCACTCAAGCCTTCGCTTTTTGGACTTTTCTAACAATTATGAGAGTTATTGGTTGTTAAATAATTAATAATCCTTACTTTAAACTATAAACTTTTTATTGGACACAAGGAAGGTTCGCTTTTCTACTTGATGGTAAGAGCACTGTCTACGGACTGAGAATGCTCCTACGCAACGCCCTAATATTGTCTACGACCCCGCTTGGGACCGAAGGGCCTTTTGTCACGTATCATAAACATTTAGATCTTTACTAAACAGAGGTGGTAAGGCTAAACGGATTTCTCCGAACGTATACAAAAGTAATATATACTTCCTAGTAAGGCCTTAGATTAATTTTTGTTATATCTAACTGACTGATAAATCTAACAATATCCCCATAAGCCCACCTTCTCTAACACAGTGATAAAAATACGGTACATGTATTGTCATTATTGGCCGACATGTTAACATCGAATTGCGTGACGTTTTTAGGCGGTGCGAGCGAAGTACCCCTCTTGCCCTTGTGCCGCCCCGGGGGCAAACTCCTGAGCTTCGCACAGTAGGTACTTACGTCGGTCAGCAATTATACTCAGGGATTATTTAGCGATTATTATTCTTTCTGTCTTCGGATCTTATATATTTATCACGATGTTGAGGGTGGAGTTTGCATTTGATAATTTACTTTACATTGGTGAATTTAGAAACTCCACCTGAAGATCTCTCCTGGCAAGGAAGTGAAAATTTCCTGGTTTTTCCCAGAGCTGCGCCTGTGATATCACTTTTAAGTATGGGGTATGGTTTTGAAAACTGTGACCTTGAAGTAAAAACGACTAAACACCTTTAACATAAGTGATTTATAAATCACAATATTTATCATATTACTTTACTATGAATCCTACGACCTTTTCATAACTATTTTCTCTGATCATTAAAAACAACGATTTGTCAGGTAATTGCACTAAATACGGCAGGTTGAAGTAACACATGCGTAATTAATAACTTAAACAGTTAGTTATTAATTGGTATCGAATACGAAACAATTGATAAGTTATATCGTAACAAATTATAAAAATTTTTATATTTTTCTCTCTGTAGGTCCGACACATTGGCCTGGTTTATGTATACAGGGGAAAAAACAATCACCAATAGCCATTGTTCCTGAAGATACCATTAAAACTGATCTTGGGGCACTGAAGTTCATAAGATATGATTTTGCATTTTCCGGTAAAATCACGAACAATGGTCATTCTGGTAGGTAAAAGAAAGGATGCAAACAAAACACTTTTACTATACATTTCATGTTAATCGGATATGAAAGGTATTGTAGAATAACTAAGATTTTTTTCTTATGACTTACTTGTGCGTGGTCAGCGGGTCGCAGATGAAAAATACCCCCGCGTGGATGCGTGAATCAGGCCCTCCTTATTTGGTCTTTTAGAATAGGATATTAAGACAGCTCGAAAAGAACATTTTGCAAAGAGAAAACGCATTCTTCGCGACGTAAACAACACTCCTTGTAGGTAGGACTGCTGTCACTCGACTTACCCTTTCCCCCTAGAGCAGCGATTTTTAACCTTCTTTATCTCACGGCACGCTAAATTAATTACTAATATTCTACGGCACACCAAAAAATATATCATATTTTTTCGCGGATCTGACAAAAAAGTATACACTTTTGATTGATTTACAGACAAAATAATATTTTTTCTGTTACTTTTTCACCGTTTTTAACATATATTAAAAAATCTTGGACACATCTGTGCACCTCTCGCGGCGCACCGGTTGAAAATCACTAGCCTAGAGGAAGACATTATCAATCGCGGCATATTATGAGGTCGTTCAGAAAGTTCTGTCAAATTTTAAACACTCATAATTAACAAATTTATTCAAAATCAGAACTATTACCATCGACATAGCTTTGCCAACGTTTCACTAATTTATTTATGCCATCTATAGAAAACCTGCGACGGCTGGAATTAACAAACTCCACGAAGGCTTGTCCCACGTTGCGTTCATTTCGAAGTGCTTTCTCCTGGATAAAAGTTTAAAATGTTTGAGCAGATGATAAACTGTTGGCGAAACTGCCGTTTCTGTCGACCAGTGCTGGACGGATAACTGATAGCTTTCGATGCATTTCGCTAAGTTTCGATAAATAATCCCGTCCAAACAGATAGCATTATCTTTTCCGTATGTGCTTGAGGATTTGGAAAGTGTCTAGGTGGTTCGTTAAGATCTAACCACTGCTTAGATCTTTTCCGATTATCATAAAGTACCCACTCTTCATCACAGATAACAATTCTGTCCGGAAAAGGATCTGTAATGTTCCACAGGATATGTGCGGAACCCATTTATCCATTTTCTTTGTCTTGCTTATATTTTGTAGATGGCATAAATAAATTAGTGAAATGTTGGTAAATGTGCAAAGAGCGAAGACTTGGGAGGTGTGTTTTGTTCAATTTGCTATAGCTGCTATGGTTTATTCGGAAAATTTATGTGGGAAGCGGGCATGATAAAAGAAATCGCGAACACGGACAATCGAATCTTCTCGATGTACTTACCGGCTGATCGGCACGTGCCGGCAGGCTTAAGTGTGTATGCGTGTATATGAGCGTTGACGTACCGCAACCGGGCAGGCAAAAACACTAACCCAAATATGCCAAATTTAGGAAGCAATTAAGAACACGGATAATCGAATCGGCTCGGTGTATTTACCGGCTGATCGGCACGTGCCGACAGGGATGAGTGTGTGTGTGTGTATATGAACATTAGCTCCGAGAATATTCCAACGTAGCGCGACCGGGCAGGCAAAAACCCTAGCCCGGACGTACCGAGTTTAGAAAAAATGTCGGGAACGTTCGGACTGGGCGAGGATAAAAGCGCGTGCCCGCGACATATAGTGTTTGCCGCCCCAAGAGGCATTTGGGTTTCCGCAGACTTTTGTCTTATACACCCGTTCAGCAAGTTCTATCTTACCCCCGGCTAGTCACTGCCCCGAGACGGGCGATGGAAAAATCCAGCCACGCCGCAAAGTTCTATCTTACCCCCGGCTAGTCACTGCCCCGAGACGGGCAATGGAAAAATCCAGCCACGCCGCTGAGCGTTTTCAGCGGATGAGCCCTTTCGTTACGTTGTCAGTCAAACCGAGCAAATACCCCAACTTCGACTGCCACCGCATCCATGGGGAATCACGGGAAGGAGGACTCACCAGTACACGCAAGTACTGCGCTCTGACCCTGTTACAGGCGAAGGATCGTAAGGGAAGGTAATGGTTAGGATGGACGAGGAGATGTAGGGGAAAAGGAGAGGAAAGGTGTTGTCATTTTGGCACTCCTAAAGAGTAGCCTGCACATCCTCACGATTGCGCTCACCGGGCTGCCTAAGCTCAGGGTGGTGGGGTCGCTAATCTCATTTTGGCACTCCTAAAGAGTAACCTGCACATCCTCACGATTGCGCTCACCGGGCTGCCTAAGCTCAGGGTGGTGGGGTCGCTAATCCCAGCGGGAAGAGGCATCCGCCCCTTGCCGTGCCGCGTACCAAACAATCCGGTAGAAGGGTGGAGCAAGAAGGTCTTGCACCTTATTTTGGAACTTCGCCCAGCATTGGCTGCAGCGTAGTGCGTTCGAAGCTCAGGATACCGGAGGTTTGCTAGACCCCGGGTGTTCGGAAACACCCCCCTGCGGCCGCGTGCCCGCGACACGAGGAGCGAGTCTGTCAGTCTGTCAGTCTAGAGTGAGTCTGGAAGAAGTCTGCAAGAAGCTACGATACGCTACGATACTATACGATACGATACGATACGATACGATACGATACGATACGCTACATACGCTACGATCAGATACGATCAGATACGATCAGATACGATAAGGCCTGAGTAGGCACTACGAACTAGTCTTACTGGTCGTGTTATCTCTGTAACTAGCGGAATAGATACTTTAATAAAACCCTATTCCTAGATTTATATGGAATCTTTCTTGTTAATAAGAATGTTTTTTTCATACAATAGTTTATAATGAAGTTTTGCGGTAAATGACGATTGACAGAATATGACACGAGTGAATATAATAATATTTGATAAAACTTGCAATGCAAAGACGACTGTTATGCAACACTAACAAGTGTACAATAACTCTTACAAGTTTCAGACACTTCAGACAGCTCGTAGATGACCTATACAATACATACTCCGTAACACGCTATCACCAACACTCTTCGCCTTCTTTCTCTCCCACAATATACGCACGCTATTTCGGAGCCAACTTATTGGTAGGCCCCATGCGTCATTGAAGTTTTTCGCGATGGGCCTGGCTTGTGTTTTCGTTGATCCCCACTTTTTCTTTTACAACCCCCACTATATGCCTCATAAAATTACGTAGGAAGAGGTATAGTTGGTGGAACAAATATAGCGAGCTTGTAAATTAAAGCATCAAGTGGCGGCACAGCTTGATGTAGCCACAGCCAGGACCGTATACGGCCTTCTGTTTTAACACTAGGTTTACGGGACGCGTCATTTTGACGTACTTCGAATTTCACGAGGAAAATTACAGAAATCGTTTACATCTCTCTCCTACCACTTATGCTTGTTATAAATTTTATATAAATATACATATAATATCACATAGTTTCATTTATAAGTTAATAGTGTATAATATGTTGTTTTTAAATAAAATAAGTTGCTTATGTGGCGACCGCCACGGGAGGGGCACGCACTTAGGCCTGGCGATTCTTGGCCCTCGAGGCGAAGAATCGAGAGATGTTTTTCCAAACATCTCCGAGCTTCTTCGTCCTCGAGGACAAGAGTATTGCCTCGGCAATGCAGGCCCGCGCCCTCACTTCCTGGGACTTTCCCAGGGAAAAGGGGCTACTTAGGGGAGCCCCGAAAAAGGCACGAGGCCTTTTGTCGTAGAGCTTCTCTGCACGCGCATCATGTAATTTACATTTGAAATTAGTTTAAGCATTACGTTTAAATAAATATATTTTTGTTACCCACTTTACCGAATAATCATTTGCACCACGTCACTTCCAAACTTTTTAAAGAAAATATGCGGTTTCGTTCACTCGTCAATTTGACGCGTGTCCGTAGAGATAGGTATATAAGAAATTTCCGTAAACCTAGTGTTAAGGCCCGTACAGTGAAAGGATGACATTAGATAACTAATGGTATTTCGTGGACTACCAGACAAATTAAAAATGCCAATTGGCTTTTTTTAATATTTAATATTTCTTTCTGACGTGTCATGAACCTGTGTGTCCAACGCAGATCAGTTGGTTAGTCGAATTGTAAAATCGTGGAACTGATACAGAAATAAGTAAACAACGTAAACGGTAACCACTGAAAGAAAACATTAGATAAAATAATGAAAATTGAAGTAGAATATAGGTGGAAACAAAGAACATTAGAAGAATTTGAAGGACGACAGGGCCTGTGCAGAGACATTGAATACATTATACGGCACTGGCTGAGGGTTTGTGTCTCATCTTCTTCCCTTGTTAGAACACTCGAACTATGTTTATGTACTTTGACTCTTGACCGATTTTACGAGCTGGCTATATTTGTTCCACCAACCTTAAGCATTTATATACTTATCGTATGATTGGAAGCGATGGAATGGGAATGGTTGGACTTGGGTTATAAGTGATGAACTGTCGACGGAAGACAGCGATAAAATCATAAAGCCGTACTTGTAAAGAGGATTAATTTGAAAGCGAAAATTGTTACTGTTTTATGATTTGATTGTTGCTACGTGTTTTGCTAGGAAAATCAGTGTTATAGAAAATGAAGTTTATGGGCTGGCACTATGTACTCGCTGTACGATCTAACTGGTAGGAAAATGAACACCATTGCTGTGTATTAGTAACAAATGACTTGTTCCTAGCATGATTGACAATAGGTCTGTGGACTAACACAGTAGCCCTTAATAGTGAAAGAACAAACGCTTTTGTCGATTGCCTTCAGTAAAAAAAGGAATGTAATTTCCGATACCGAAAAGGAACTCCATTTTCTACAACTCAGCTTCTATAAGTACAGGGTGTCCCAAAAATCGCGGTACAACCGGCCGGGTGGTGATTGATTGAAGTCGAAAAAAAAAGAATAACATTTTTTCATTTAAGTCTACAATATCCGTGTATCAACTGCAGGTTTTGAAGTATAAAACTTCTGTTTCTGTTTGTGTTTGTATTTTTAAGCAATGGCTGTTACCTTATTTCCGTGATGTCGGTCTGTTAGTCTCTTTCATTCCGTCACAATGTCTTTATACACAAATCGAGAATACGCAATACGATAACTGTTAAGGCATATCCTGTAGCCGGATTTATGGCAGCGAGTCAAGTGGTCGCCGTCGCAGGCAAATATCGTTTTCTCAAAACACCACAAGTGTTTATTGCGTTGCCTGCGACACTTAGTCCCTAGGAGCAGACTCTGCCATAAATCCTGGAGTCTCCGAACGGAAAATAGAAAAGTGGCCCACGACTTTTGCCAACGTCGATGGGCCACTATGGGCTGGCACTATGTACTCGCTGTACGATCTAACTGGTAGGAAAATGAACACCATTGCTGTGTATTAGTAATAAATGACTTGTTCCTAGCATGATTGACAAGAGGTCTGTGGACTACCACAGCAGCCTTTAGTAGTGAAAGAACAAACGCTTTTGCCGATTGCCTTCAGTAAAAAAAGGAATGTAATTTCCGATACCGAAGAGGAACTCCATTTTCTACAACTCAGCTTCTATAAGTACAGGGTGTCCCAAAAATCGCGGTACAACCGGCCGGGTGGTGATTGATTGAAGTCGAAAAAAAAAGAATAACATTTTTTCATTTAAGTCTACAATATCCGTGTATCAACTGCAGGTTTTGAAGTATAAAACTTCTGTTTCTGTTTGTGTTTGTATTTTTAAGCAATGGCTGTTACCTTATTTCCGTGATGTCGGTCTGTTAGTCTCTTTCATTCCGTCACAATGTCTTTATACACAAATCGAGAATACGCAATACGATAACTGTTAAGGCATATCCTGTAGCCGGATTTATGGCAGCGAGTCAAGTGGTCGCCGTCGCAGGCAAATATCGTTTTCTTAAAACACCACAAGTGTTTATTGCGTTGCCTGCGACACTTAGTCCCTAGGAGCAGACTCTGCCATAAATCCTGGAGTCTCCGAACGGAAAATAGAAAAGTGGCCCACGACTTTTGCTAACGTCGATGGGCCACTTGACTTTAACAAAGCCTAGAAAAGCGGAGATTCCACAGGATTCCCACGCATCCGTCCACCGAACACTTTCTCCGGTCGTTGTTTACCCCATCCTAAGATAACGCGCTAAGGACGAAATGGAGGGAGGTTGCGATGCACCGGAGTAAACTGATTGGTGATTTAAAAAAGGAAAAATCACCAATCAGGGTGTTTTTAGGAAAATAGGAGTCTTCGTCGAGGGAAACCGCAGAGACTCCAGCAGAAACACTTGGCCATTCGCAAGTGAAACATCTCTCACTTTGCAATAGAATTTATATCTTGAATTAGTTGTAGAAAATAGAACATAAAATAAAAACTTAGTGTTTCAATCAAGAAACTGGTCCTTCGAAGCCTTAGAACATTAGTCGGCACACACGTGCAAAAACCGGCAAAGCTTGAACGATCGAAAGATCAACCGCAAGTCCTAACAACAACAGTAATAGCAGAAAGCAAATCGTGACATTATCCACGTTTAGTAATACAAATACGAGCAGTAACAGTTTCATATGTACCTCGAAGCTTGAAGTTAGTACACGGGTACCTGACGAATTTTCAAACTCATTTTCTTTGAAAACGAAGCCATAAATGAAAAAATGTTATTCTTTTTTTTCGACTTATTTTTGCATATAGAATCATCCCTAATTCGGTTGTATTGTTATGCCGCAACCGAACAGGATCTCCAAAAAATCGAACACTCGTTCCATAAAACGCAAATTTTTATTTTTCATAAGCAGGTTTACGCTTCAGAGGTGACTCGCGGAGTTACAAGTTTTTCGGGGTTTGATGCACGTAGATCTCTACTTCTGAGAATGATCTGCGGCGTGAAAATTTTTTGCTACTAATGACGTGAGGGGTGGTTAAAATTCGTAGGGGAGGAAGGTCTGCGCCAGGATTCGAGGATGAGCAAAGGATCGGCGTTCAAGGATGGGTAAAGGATCGGAGTTCGAGGATGAGTAAAGGATCGGAGTTCGAGGACGAGTAAAGGGTCGGAGTTCACGAGGGAGGAAAGTATGATTTGGTGACGAACAAGATAGGAAAAAGAATGCGACGGATAGAAAGGGAGAAAGTTTATCGGAGTTGGTGTCATCGTTAGCTTAGGACGTGTGTTTATCCTAACAGTACCACGTATCCCGCCTCACCCTGTATATGTATTCAGTAATTTTGTGTATAGTAGTTTGTTAATATCCTATTTCGATAAAGTTTTATTTTTCATTTAACTTCTGTTCTAGTACAAATTCAATTGTCTGGTGTACCGATCTCTATTGAAGGAGCAAATCTTCCATCCACGTATACTCTAGAGCAAATACATTTTCACTGGCCTGCCGAGCATATCGTGGATGGTAATCGCGATGACTTAGAGGTACATTTTGTTCATTATAATAACAAATATGGTAACGTTACTACGGCGTCACAGCATGAAAATGGTATTGCCGTTGTTGCAAGTTTATTCAAGGTACGTTCTTACGAAGTATTTACATTTTTCGTTACTATTATTGGATGATTGCAAAAGTTCGTGCCCGATTTTCAGAGGTGGCGAGAACCTTATCGACTTCGACACAGATGTTTCTTTTAGCCTAATGTTACATTCCTATCGAAAGATACACCGCTTGTGTTTTGTTTTCAAATAATTATTCATTTCATTCCATTTCAGTTTCAAATGAAATCTGCTTTCGCACACACCGATTGTGTTTTATTTTCAAATAGGGTACTGTTACCCGCCAAATTAATTTTAGGTAACTAGTTCAAATTTTGTTTGCTGCGTCACGACTTGTTTCAAGACTCGAGTGACCGATCGCGACTCGAATACTACGGGTGTCTCCTCGAACAGTTGGAGACTGTGTGTTGTTTGCACGAGAGAATCTTTGCGAATGTCTGGCTCGATCGCCGAATTTTTCTGGAGTCCGCAGTGACTCCCCCGCCAAGTGCAAGAAGGCACGCTGATTGGTTTTTCACGTACGCACAAATTACCAATCAACGTGCCCCTTGAGTGTCACCCATCCTTCCATTGCGCCCTTAGCGCGCTTTTCCTTGGAAGGAGTGGGGCCCTACCTGCGGGTGCGTGGAATCTTCGCTGTCCTTCGGTGACGCGTCGAAAATTCCCGCCAGGTCAACCCTCGACCGAGAGTGCCGTTATACGCACGTGTGGATTGACCCTTCAGGAATACCTGGTTTATAACACGTCTTCGGTTATTAAGGACGCGGAAAAGTCGAAATTCTAAAGGCATTGTTCTGTAAGAAATGACTTATTTTTTCGCGGAGCTACGAAACGTCTTTGTTCTCAAAAATAACCTTCTCGTGCGAGCGGGCCATAAACCCGGTCAACGAAGACCCCACGCGTTCCGTACCTGCGCGACGGAACAGGTACGAACTTTTGCAATCATCCAATATTAATGTTTCGCTAATATACCTCATTTGAAGGATAAAATTGTACTGACGACAACGGTGTTTATGAAATATCGTTTTAGGTGAACAATGAGGAGAATTTAGAGTTAGTGCCAATTCTGAAAGCAACGGAGTTAATATCCAATAATATTGGAGTCATGGAGAGCACGGTAGCAATGGAATCCATGATTATTCCGTACCTTTTTTTGCCAAAGGATCACACAACGTATTATTATTATGATGGCTCTTTAACTACCCCCGGATGTCAAGAATCTGTGATGTGGTTTATCCTTGCTGAAAAACTTTCGTTATCGAAACAACAGGTAGATGCAGTTCACATTTTATAACTTATTTATATAGGGTGGAAGATAATTTATAGTACATAGAAATTTAGATGAGAATTTTGACATTACATGCTGTTATTATTCCCAGAGTTTGTGGAAATGGATTTGTAAACATAACAAAATTTATTTATTACTATTTGCACGTTGCTTATATAAACTATAAAGTTCAAGGGTCCGAAGTTATATAGTTCAAAATTGTAAAGCCTAAATTATAAAATCCGGCAGAAGTTCTCTTTGATGTTCGCAAGAGTTCTGTTTCAAGTTCAGAAGCTTTTTCCAAAGTTCTAACGCTTTGTGTCTGAAGTTCCAACGTTTTTCCATTCGAAGTCGAAAAACGTTCTCTCACTGCCCGAAAAATCGTTCCTCCAAGTCCCATCTTGGATGTAAATACAGAAAAGTGGGATCTAGAACTGCCCAACTAAAAAGTCATGCACTTCAACCTGTAAACAAGACCTACAGGACGTCGCACGCAGGTCCCTTGTTCGGGAAATCGGTCCATAAATTCTAAGTCTTTTTTTTCACGGCGTGTGTTTATGTTGTATGTAGTAACTATTGCTCGTCTTAAGAATGAGAATTATATTTCGAAGATATGTAACGAACATACCCACAAGCGTCATTCCTCCACTCCGCTTTAATGTGCATGACATTACTAGCCCACGATTTCGCCCTCAGCTCTGCCCGCGGGCATCGGCGGGTGCCCTTGCTCGCCTGAAGGCCTGTTGAACGGCACTGGCATGACGAATCGACGAGCTTCAGGCATCTTCGGGTCAATTCTTGAAATGTTTGCAATATCTGTATTGAGAAGAATTGTTCGATTGCGAAATCTTACAAAAGATTGCGTTACAATTTACCTTTTTTTTCTCGTTTACAGCTAAACATATTCAAAACTGTTAAATCAAGCAACGGTACCTTGAGCTTCAATTACAGGCCGACTCAGGATCTTGGAGAAAGGAAAGTTTATCATCATTTGCTTGGGTATTCTGTCGCAACTTCCTACACGAGCAATTTACTTTTCGTGTGCTTTAGTTTTCTGTTAAGTAAAATCTTATGTACAAAGTAATTAATTTTATATGTAAATTATGTAATTTAGTAGAATACGATCAGTGTGTCCTTTATATTTTTGCATCAGGCCGAGAGATCATGTTGTACATCAATCATATCATACGCATTCGTAAAGAAAGTGATTCGCTACTTATTATCCTAACGTTTTCATAAAATCATATTTTGTGTATATGACATTTATCGATTGTTATGAGTATTTAATGTCTAATAATAAGAAACATGACATTTTTATTACATATTTTTAATACGAGTCTACTATTTAAGGGAGACCCAGGATGAAACGTGGCACTTCTTCCTTTTCCGCTTATCCGCTCTCTTCATTTTTTCTTCCTCCTTCCACTAACGTACAACCGTGGTATAATAATGCCACGTCCAATCAAATAGTTATTACAGTTTAAAGTAATTTTTTCGAGGGAAAGGATTAAATAATCTTCTACCTTTGACATAGAAAAGCAAAGAAGACATAAAGTTGTCGGGCAGATGGCAATTTTAGTATAAAATTTAATTTATCGATAGAGTTGCTTGCGTGCGATAAAAATAAATCGGTCGTATATTAAATTAACTATAACTAAAAATTGTTTTATTAATGTATTCAAAATTGTTTTTAGTAAGAAAATAATTCAGTGAAGTAGTAAAATCATGAAAGGTTTATATTTTCTACTATACTGATAGAAGACATACTTTTATCTTTTAAACATTTACACGTTCTCCAAGATCATGTTTAACAAACATAATCCTATATCTCTTTAATCAGTAACCGAGTAAGAAGTTTTTCTGTAAAATATAATACTGTAGCTTTTTGCAGTCCACATATCTCACGCAACGAACTATCTAGTGTGCCTCGATAATACATATGTCTTGACCTGGAAACTAAATATCCCGACGAAGGAACAGTTTATGAGAGAAACAAAATATAAACAATATCCCAAGGGATATGAATTCATTTTCACCTCAAATATATTTAACGTTTGTTTAATCAGGCAGGTGCCTGGGAAGTACATAGGGCCATGAAAGATTACAAATAATGCTGTACATTATATAATATATAATTGAATAGTAAATAAAATTCCGTACGGGATATATTTCTCATAGGAGAGTAGGTCAATTTGAAGAAAGTTACCGTGTTTTTACTTTAGTTGTTAGGTATATCAATTTGTCACGAAATATAAAGTATTAGTTAACAAGAAACGTTACGTTTTGTCTTATAATATATGATTTTCTGCAACTTTTTTAATACACGAGATGTATAGTTTATGATAAAGTTGTTCGTAGAAATATATTATTTGTAATTGTAATATCAAATATAATCGACGTGCGTTACGAAAAGTAGCATGTTTTATTTGTCTCACGAAGAACATCACGTGTCAGTTTGCCACGTAAAGAAGCACATTTCTAAAACTAGCACATTATACTGTTTCGCCACGAAGAATAGCACATTTTGGATTTTTCGGTGAAAACTAACACGTTGCATGTGTGGTCAATTTAAATTGTTGAAATGCACTTTGCATTGAAAAATTCAATCTTTGAAAATATTGTTTAACTGTTTGAGTGCCACGGGTTATTGCAGAAATCTGACCGAAAATGCCAAGCAGCGCGATCACGCTTCTTTCATTTCAAAAATTTTGTTTTGGACATTTTCACGGAATACGACTGTTTGGAAATAACACGAAACAAAGGTTAAATTGATTATGTGCAGGATTTTTGTTCAATTTTTCAGAAAAAAATAGATAGATTATAAGAAATAGAATAAAATTTACACTTCGTGGCCCGATGCGGTGGCACTGTTTGAAGTCGAGGTCGCGCTCCTTAGCATTCAAACGATTAATAAATAATAACTTTATCTAACGTTCCAAAGTAAAAAAATACAGAAATTTTAACTTACGTACAAAGTTTTCTTTTGTTAAAGAATAATCATAGAAAAAATAACACAGAAAAAAGAAATTCATACAATTATACAGCATTCCCCGCTTAATTGACGCAGTCACCAATTTCTGGAACTGCCTTCATGGAGCGAGCGTCCGCATTATCATAGAGTTAGGACCCGTGATTGGCGGTATCTCTCTCTCTCTGTTTCATTCGGACTCGATATTTCTCATCCTCACCTACGATACACTCAAGAAGTGAACGAACCGAAGACAGATAACAGTTGGCAATTTCCAGAACACCTACCTCCCTCGATAACAGTCGTGACGCGGACCGAGCCTACTTCAATTAACCCGTTCAGGACGGCGCAGCAGCGAAATTCACGAAACACTTGTTTATGACCGAATGATTCGGTTTTATTGAAGAGTTTATTATCATTGATACTTAATTTTGTTCAATTTCTAATCTTTTCAGCTCTTAAATATACGTGTTTTCTCAGAGAATATTATCGAATAATGTTTTCACTGGTCGGTCACATCGTCCTGAACGTGTTAAGCGAGGAATGCTGCATATTATGATCAGATCTGACTTATAATATCTTTAAACCAATTTGGACGTACGGCATCCAACGATGGAGTACGGACAGTAACTTGAATATAGAAATTCTACAAAGATTCCAATCAAAAACTCTTCGCGCCATATGTAATGCCCCATGGTACGTTTTCAACGACATAATACACAACGATTTGCCAATTCCTACGGTTAAACAAGAGATACCAAAGTACAGCAAACATCATATAGGAACAGTTATCAAAGCATAAAAATTCAGTAGCCTTAGAATTGACTCATACCGATATTAGTACGTACAGATTAAAAAGATACACTTCACTAAATGTGGTAAACAGATGTGCTACTTAAATTTGCTATTAAGTTATAGTGGCGATCATATACAAGTTATACGTACAAATATAACCATCTAATGTAACCACCAAGTTAAGTTACTTCATATACCACGATATAATGTCAGCTTTACTTATAATTCCTCAGGAGAAACTGGTTGTAAATACCTTAAGTTGATAAAAAAAAATATCTGACTTAATAATGGTAAAAAAAAAAAAATCCTATCGGTTGCTGCGGTATAAAGCTAAACATACTTTTTTTTGGCGAAAAACAAAACGTGATATCTTTCGTGACAACGAAGACGAACATGCTGTTTTTCATAAGACAAATAAAATATGCTACTTTTCGTAACGTCCGCCGATATATTTGCTACTAGTTGTCACATCTGTGTGAGATCCGCATATGTCGATTCTCATATCAGACTAATATTAAACATACGTATACTCCTGCCTATAAATCACCAGACACTTACTACTTTTCAACAAAAAAATATTAAAATAATAAATTTATAATATAAATAATTAACAATTGTTGATTTTCTTTTGCAAATATAACACGAATTTATTCTTAAACTACATATACGTATTAAATGTCCAATGACTAATAGACGGAAGTGAATGTATGTAACACATACGAAATACCTAGTTTGCATACTTAATACATACAAATTATGTGCGCATAAATACAAACATGCATTGTATGGAGTAAAACTATTAAAATATAGAGTCTATAGGAAATGATATTATAATTAAAGGAGCGGTAGTGAAGATGATAAATTGTTCATATAACGAATACAAACACATATGTTGTTGGTCTATATATCCGGTACAAAAGAATTTGACATATTTATGATATTTATGATGTACGTATGTAAAATGCATGTATTCATTCAAAGCATCATAATTAAAGTAGACAATCGAAGTAATTATGTTGGCTTACGAACGTATGTAACATTTTTTATGATCAGAATGCTCCATTACTGTTGCAATTAAAACACGTGTACATACAGGGTGTCCCAGTTTTTTCCCGATCTAACTTTGTCAGTATCTTCAAAATATGTTGTGGCGACCAGCTGTAGTGCAGAAGCAAGCATTTGCCGCGCGGACGACCAACACGGTTTATGACGTGCGCGCTAGCAAAGGTATTTTTGAGAAAACCGTTTTAGTCTGTTTAATGTTTAGTAAATCTAACAATGCATGTTTTTGTAGAAACTTTGACCAACGGTCTCAATAGCAATTTGCCAGGTCATAAACCAAGGGTTGCCGAAAGGTCCGCGTACGGGCTCAGAGGCCCAGGCCACATGTCTCAAGTACTGGACCTGGAGGAAAATCCGCGATTCGCCGCGGTCCTGGAAAAAGCGCGCCAAGGGCGCAAAGGACTAGCGGCGGGTTAAAGACAAAATTCCTGAATCAGGAAAAAGAAAGCAGACAAGTGTAAACCTCGCGAGCCAGCTAATTAATAAAGACTTTAAAAGAACTTACTGTGTGGGTACTAAGCAATCCAGATACACGCACTATCCTCCTACTCATCAAATACCCTTACAATGTTACAAAAACATTGGTTGTTTGAAGCTTCATTAACACGTTGAATGCCACGCTAATTTTACATGGCTTGCCCGTCTGGCCAACATGAATTTCTTATTATGCGTTACATTCCTTACAATGTTACAAAAACATTGGTTGTTTGAAGCTTCATTAACACGTTGAATGCCACGCTAATTTTACATATCTTGCCCGTCTGGCCAACATGAATTTCTTATTATGCGTTACATATTATGGTGAAATATTATTTACAACAGACAAGTTAAAGTGTGTAATCATGTGTGACGCATTTATCTTACTGTGGGTCACCGGTGACCCCCGCGGCGCTGAAATGCATTTCTTTGTTTTCGCAGGATTTTTTCAAAGACAAAAAACTGTTCCAAAAAAGTTGTGACATACTGTGGAGACTGTACTGGTTCACCTTTCCTTTGTTTGTCGTGTTTTAATACGCGCACATAATATTTAAGCTTACATGTTACATATAAAACTATTTTTATATGTTCTATATTGCATTAATTTCTTCACACCATTTTAGTAACGATGATAATATTGAAAATTTGAAAGCATTGAAATTTACTCGAATTATGTGTTTCTAGTAATCTTGGCTTCGCCGATCACCGGTGACCTCCATGGCATTCAACGTGTTAAAAAGTTATGACAATAAAACGAAATATGAAGGGAATGGTAACGGATGTGAGGTTATGATAAAAATGGGAAAACATCAGCGGTATGTGTAAATACTGTGCGGAGCTCAGGAGTTTGCCCCCAGGGCGGCACAGGGGCAAAGGGGTACTTCGAAAGGGGAATAACGAATAAATCCAGATTATTCTTAATTTAAGACGATGTAACATTTGCCGTACGCTTCCCTCGATACAGACTCTGTGCCAGTGCGTTTGTTCACGATCGCGCGCGGATGAGCCTCTGCGCTACCGTGCCTGGGCGCGGGCTTTACGCGCGCTCTGATTGGCCAGTGATTTGCCGTACGCTTCCCTCGATACTCACTCTGTGCCAGTGCGTTTGTTTACGATCGCGCGCGGATGAGCCTCTGCGCTACCGTGCCTGGGCGCGGGCTCTACGCGCGCTCTGATTGGCCAGTGCTTTTCGTTAATAATTCAAAAACCAAGCTTCAACCAACATTTTGGTAAAGAAAAAAGTTGTTCAGAGTCACCCCAGCAACCCCCCATTTCCGAATGTTATACTCTTTACGAAACACCCTGTATGATCTGATTCGTCGATGTTATCGCGTTTGGCCAATAATGACAATACGTGTGCCCCATTTCTATGATTGTGTTAGAGAAGGTGGAATTATGGGGATATGATCCAATCCTGAGCTCTACATAATACATACATGTAAGTACAGTGCTCCCTCGAACAATGCGGTTTCACTTATACGCGGTTTTTTTTCTTGAAAAATTTCGACGTTCATTTCGAATCAATTTACACATTTAGCATACATTTACAATTTTCTTTATCATGGAGAATAAGAGAGGTGAGAAAAAGCGAATGCATATTCGTTCGCGTGAACACATTGCCGCTACATACAAGAAATAGTGGCATCGAATTCAAATAGATAGCGAACAATCGAACTTGGGAGAAAAATCAAATACCAATGTGTCGCTTTGAGCTAGAAGGAGCTACATTTAAGTAATTACGTAATACATATGTGCGTGTATGTGTGTAAATATATATATACATGCATCGG